ATGCCCGCGGAGGTCAGAAGAGGGCATCAGATCCCCGGGAACTGGAGTTACACACAGTAGTTAGCTGCCATGTCAGTGCTAGGTTGAGTGTCCTGGCTCCAGTGACCATCTCTCTAGCCCCTGTTTTTTGTTGTTTGTTGCTTTTTTGTTGTTTGTTTTTGAGACAGTCTCCTCAGCTGACCTGGAACTTACTATGTAGACCAAACTGGCCTGGATCTCACAGAGATCGGCTTACCTCTGCCTCCCAAGTGTTGGGATTAAAAGCCTGGGACACCAGGACCAGCTGTTTCTGTTTTGTTTTGTTTGTTCTTTTTTTTTTTGGCCTTTTTGAGACAGGGACTCCCTATAGCCCCACCTGACCTGTAACTCACTATATAGACCAGGCTGGCCTTGAATTCAGAGATCCGCCTGCCTCTGCCTCCCAAGTGATGGGACTAAAGGCGTGTACCACTAGCCCAGCTGTTTCTATTTTCTTGAGACAGGGTTTCACATTGTAGCCAGACTGGCCTCCCAACAGCTGTGGCAGTTCTGCCTCAGCCTCCTAAGTGTTAGAATTAAGGCTGAGCCACCACACTAGGCTGTAGCCTGTATTTTCAACTACTGCCCTACACTACTCCTTTCCTAGTGGAATTTTCCCAGATTATAGACAGCTGAAATGATCATGAATTAAGAACAGATAGCAGAGGGCTAGATAGATGACTTAGTGGTTAAGAGTAGGGGCAGCCCTTGCAGAAGACCTGACCTTGGTTCGATTCCCAGCACCCACACGGCAGCTATGAACCATGCTTAACTCTAGTTCCAGGGGAATCCAATGCCCTCTTCTGACTTACGTGGCATTACATGACATGGTGCACTCACATACATGTAGGCAATATACTCATATACATAAAATAAAAGCAATAAATAAAATATTTTAAAAAAGCACCGACTGCTTTGCAGAAGACCTGGGGTCAATTCCCATCACCCACATGACAGCTAACAACCATCCATAATTCCAGTTCCAGGGGATCTAACACCATCTTCTGACCTTGGGCATTATATGACATGGGTGCACATATATACATGCAGACAATACATTCATACACATAAAATAAAAATATCTTTTTAAAAAGAACAGATAGCAGGAGCCTGGAGTGATGTCTTGGTTTAAGAGCACTGACTGCTCCTGCAGAGGACCTCACTTCAGTTCCCAGCACCCATATGGTAACTAACCAGACCTCTTCTGACCTCCACGGCCATTGCATATTTGTGGTGTATTCACATACATGCAGACCAAATACTTAGACACATAAAAAAGAATAAATAAAAATTTTTGAAAGAACAAATAGGAAACCAGGTATGGTGTCCCACACCTTTAACCCCAGCACTACAGAGGCAGAAGCAGGCAGATCTCTGTGAATTCCAGGCCAGCTGGGCCTACAGGGAGACCCTGTCTCAAAAAGAGTAAGAAAAAAAGAAGAAAAAAAAAAACCAGGAAAACCTCAGTTATGTTGTAGAAGGATACTTGCTGGTTAGCTAAAATTAGTAACAGATAACCGTTGTAATGCCTGTAACTTCCCAACATCTGTGAAGACTGACCTTCAGCCCTGTGTAGAACTGTGTTAGGAAGGAGGGTGGGTGTGGTGGGGCACACCTGTAATCCCAGCACTCAGGAGGAAGGGGCAGGAATTCAGTGTAGACTATATTGTGAGTTTCAGGCTATCCTGGGCTACATGAGACTGAGATCTGCAGTGGCCAGGTGTGGTGATGTATACCTCCAGTCCTAGCACTACAGAGGCTGAGACAGACCTTGGCTCAAGTGAAGAAAAATATAGAAATGAAGGTGTCATCCAGAGAAAGCAGGAGTGACACAGCAGAAGCAGGAGCTGTGCCTGGTCCTGTCTGCATAGTGGCCATGCCTGGGCGGTCCACATCGTGGACTCCGCCTAAGGTTGTCACTCCTTCCCCTCTTTGTTTGGGGGTCATTTTAAAAAATATTATTTTTATTTTTTGTGTATGAGAGTATTGCCTACATGTGCGTAAGTGCACCCATGTTGTGTAGTGCCCAAGGAGGTCAGATCCCTGGAGTTATGGAACTGGAGTTATGGATGGATGTTAGCTGCCATGTGGGTGCTGGGAATCAAACCCAGCTCCTGCAAGAGCAATCGGTGCTCTTAAGCACTGAGCCATCTTTGCAGTCCCTGGGGGTCATTTTTTTATTTAAATTTTTTTATGACGATTTGTGTGTGTCCGTGTCTGTGTCCGTGTGTCCGTGTCTGTGTGTTGTGAGCCACGTGTGTGTAAGTACCCATAGACACCAGAAGAGGGATTGGATCCCCTAGAGCTGGAGTTACAGGTGGTTGTGAGCTGCCTGACATGGGTGCTGGGAACTAAACACTGGTCCTCTGGAAGAGCAGTCAGATGCTCTTATTGCTGAGCCACTTCTCCCTGGAGTCATTTTTCAAAAGGATTACATATTCTTATTTGCTTGTGTTTAGTAGAGGTTAGAGGACACTTGTGGAGTCAGCTTTCTTCTGCTTTATGTGGATTCTGGGGATTGCATTTAGGTTGTCGGGCTTTTGTGGCAGACATTTTTACCTCTGAGCCATCTTGCCAGCCTGTTTGGGGTCATTTTTATTATGATCTGGGAATGTTTAGGGGTGTTCTTAAAATTCAGCTGGTCCAGAGCCAGGCATGTCGTTCTGCTTGTAATCCCAGCACTCAGAAGTCCCATGCAGGAGGGGAACCCTTAGTTTGGGGCCAGCCAGGCTATAGATCAGGCTCTTGTCCAAAAAAAAAAGAAAGACCCCTCCCCCAATAAGTTGGCATGTTGTTTCCCTAGTGAGTGAGGACTTCTCTGAAACCAGGGTCCTTGCCTGATACTCTAGGCCCTGGGCAGTGCTCCCGCCTCTTGGAACATAGCTAGGTCCTCTGTGCTCACATTGGCCTCTCTCTGGCTCATACATACCAAACCTGGTCCTGCATCAACCTTGGTTTATGTGTCACTTCTGACGAAGGACTTGCTTCAGATTTTCCCTTGGCCAGCTCCTCATCTCCACACGGGGGCATCACTGACCTCCCTCCTTAAAGCAGCTCTCCTGAACCCCCTCCAAGTTACCATCGTCCTGAAGTCTGTGACCAGCTGAGATGAACAGCTTACTGATTACCAGGTGAACTCCTGCTCCTCAGGCTGCTGACTCCAAGAGAGTAGGGTCAGGTCTCAGGAGGTAGAGGCAGGAGGTTTGTGAGTTAGAGGCTAGGGTTGGTCCTGTCCTGTCCTCTCCTGTCCTGTCCTCTCCTGTCCTCTACAATAGCCCCAGTGCTTGGAACAGAGCCAGATCTTCCTAGTAGTTGAAGTTCCTTTGTTAACAGTGTCTTGTCTTCTTGTCTCTTCAAACATAATGAAGGAAATGGGATTACAACCTGGGGAGCTTATACAGAGAAAGGAGAGGTTTGCCCCACACCTACCACTAGTGTCTGGAGGAGCGGAAACCACCATCACCAGACTCTGGATACTGGTGTTTCAGATCCGGTGTTTGATTTTCAGGTTCATGGTTGTCTTTGGTTGTTTGTGGAAAGTTTAGTTGTCTTTATTCTTTACAAGAATCCTCGGGCTTCTTCTCTGTTTTGGACTATCTCAGAACCACCAAAGATGCAGTGAATATGCTAGGTGCTCCTTGGTTCCCCGATGTTAAGCTTAACTGAGGGACTGACATCAAGAGCAGTTATAAATATTCCATTGCTTAAGTGGGAGTTAATTTCCGAAGCTCATGCTTGATTTCCTCATGAGAACAAAGTGGGTATGTAAGAAATTCTGTACTATTGGTTTCTGGAGGAAATCAAAAAGCGATGTGTACTCAGTATTGCTACTTGTTTTAACAGCTGACATAGTCCTTGAGTATCTCTCCTTTAATTGGTGGAGGAATCCTTCTAAGGTGTTTGGATACTTTCATTGAGGAGAAAAACTACCATTTTAATGTCTCCCTAGGTCACATGGTTACTTTATAAGGCATTAAAATTTTTTTTCTAGTGTTTCTAAAAAAATATTTTACGCTGGGTGTGGTGGCACACGCCTTTAATCCCAGCACTCGGGAGGCAGAGGCAGGCAGATCTCTGAGTTCAAGGCCAGCCTGGTCTACATAGTGAGTTCCAGGACAGCTGGGGCTTCAAAGAGACCCTGTCTCAAAAAAACCAAAAAAAAATTTTTTTCATTTACTATTTTTATTTTATGTGTATGAATGTATTGCCTACATGTATATAAGTGCACCCATGTCATACAATGCCTGCGGAGGTAGGAAGAGGGCGTCAAATCCCCACCATGTAACCCAGACTATCCTACAACTTGGGGACATCTTCCTGCCTCAGCCTCCCAAGTATAGGGATTACAGGTGTATTCTACCATATTGTTTGCCAAAGTTCTCCATATTATCTGCCAGTGCTGTTTTCTATGGCCCATGGCTGTGATCCCAGCAGTGGGAGGTGAAGGCAAGGGGATCAGGAGTTCAGGGGTAGCCCCAGCTCCATAAAATCCTGTGTTAGAAAAAAAAAAAATTTTTTTTTTTTTTTCGGTGTTCTTGAGACAGGGTCTCCCTGTAGCGTTAGCTGGCCTGGAGCTCGCTATGTAGACCAGGCTGGCCTTGATCTCATAGAGATCCGCCTGCCTCTGCTTGGGACTAACGGCGTGCGCCGCCACACCCAGCCTGAAAAAAATTTTAAGATGTGGTATAGGTATGCATATTAAGTGACTGCTTAAAATACTAATTTGCTTATGGAAGACACATTTGGCAAATTAATTTCTAAAGCAAGCAGACCAGAGAAAATTCAAGAAGTAAAAATGTTTGTCCTGTCATTTGTTTTATAAGCTAGGGGAAAAAAGTGTGTGTCTTGTTAGTAACAGTGGCTTACACTGATCTAAGGTGGGGGAGAAATGGGAAACAGCTCCTTAAAGAAAACGCTTGTCTTTCTTCCCAGAACACAGCTATGATTTGTTACTAAGTATTTAACTCTGATTCTCTCTGTAGATTGCTGCTAAAATTGATTCAATTCCTCACTTGAATAATTCCACACCCCTAGTGGACCCCTCTGTATATGGGTACGGAGTACAGAAGCGGCCCCTGGATGATGGAGGTAAGTTGCTGGGAACGTCTTGCCTTTCAGATAGCCGTGCACCTGCCAGTTATGTGGAATGTGTGTCAGCCTTCCTGACAGCAGAGCTGTTAGAGGACTGCTGGAGGGAAGTATTTAAGATGATTTTTCTGAGCAATTCACCAGCATTTGAGTTCCCATTTGCCTTGATAATACAGGAATCTTTTCAGCTGGGCTCCCAGGTAAAGACTTGGCCCCTTGGTAGTAATTTGACCCATTTGAGAATTGTGTTTGATTTAGTCCTCCGTCCTTCCAATACTTGCATGGGAATTGAAGTTTCCACTTCTCCTACGAAGCACTAAGATTATGTGCATGGCCCTGAGGAAGCCGTGGTTGAGTCTTAACCTCCAAAAAAGGGAAGAGGGGTGGTGACTTTTCCACAGCCTCTGCCAGCTCTCACTACCCCAGTTGTGATTGGCCTGGGCTTTTGTTGTTTGTTTTTAATTAACTTTTTAAAATCAGAATGTATTATTATTTATACAAAATACTGGACATTCTGAGATTTTTATGTATGTGTGTTGCATCTCCCTCTCTTACCCCTGATTTCTCTCATCTTTCCTAATCGTCCCCATCTACTTTCATGTGTGACAGGCTCTTTCTAGAAGCATCCATTTTTCATTCATTCATTTATTATATTGTCAGTTTATACTCCCAACTCCGTCTCCAAAGAAATTTGAAGACGCTCAGAAGTGCCTGTCACCAGTGCTTCTGCCCTGTGGGCCAGACGGATTTGTGCAGAGTTCACACTTGCTTTGTCTGAGCAGAGCACACTTGAGGTGGTGACGTGTGTGACGTCACAGGTAGGATTTGCATGTAGCTAGTGGACTGTGTCTTCTCTGCTGATTTAGGTGTCCATCTGTGTACACAGCCACACAATCCACTTGTATCTAGATACTGTTGTATCTTGTTGAATGGAAAGAAAAAACTCAAGGTTTAAAGAACATTGTATATTGTATAATCGTTTCCCTAAAAAGTGCGTGTTTTCATACATATAGGAAAATTTTAATTCAGTGTGTCTGATTTCTCCAGTGTCTTTGGAAATTCTAGAAGAGACAGCCACTATTGTTAGCTGTGGAAGTTTTTTTGTGTTTTTTGTCTTTAGAGTAATTGTCTGAACTCAATGAGCGTATAAGGGATAGTGCTCTTTAAGGGTGAACATTTTTGTCTATTTAAAAAACTGTTCCTAAGCTGGCAGCTCAGCTGGTAAAAGCTGCCAAGTCTAACTACCTTAGTTCAATCCCTGGGACCCACATGGTGGAAGGAAAGAACTGACTCCTGCTTGTCCTCTGACCATGACACACATGCACTCTCACACAGAATAAGTTTTTTTAAAAAACCTGTTCAGCTGGGCATGGTGGCGTACGCCTTTAATCCGAGCACTCGGGAGGCAGAGGTAGGCGGATCTCTGTGAGTTCAAAGGCCAGCCTGGTCTACATAGTGAGTTCCAGGACAGCTGGGGCTACAGGGAAACCCTGTCTCAAAAAGACCAAAAAAACAAAAAAAAAACTTGTTCGTGATAATGCAGAAAATCCACCTCAGGGACGTTGAAACTAAGATTTCAACCATTCAGTCTCCTAAATGGTCCCGTGCTCTCTCTGTATCTAGTGTCAGGAATTTTGTAGACAAGATATGACTGGGTATGTTAAGGGCATTTTTACCCGAGCAGAGAGCTGTGATGCAAAGTAACCTCTTTACCTTCCAAGGCTTTGTGCTTTGGTTGCTCCTGTGGGATATCAGTATAAAAATAGAACAGAATTGTCTGACTCTCAGAACAGATCTCCTTAATGGACTGTGTCTCTGTGGCCTGTGTTTCCAGAAATTAGAATCAATACACTTCACAACTTACTCAGTCCTTTCTAGCAAGTCATCCTGTTTTCACCTGAACTGTGGAGCTGAAATGTGAAAACTTGGGTACACTGTCATTTGAGTTGGGAACACCCAAATATTTTCAAATTAAACCTTCTAGCACTGTGTAGACATTTTCTTCCCATTTGAAAGACTCCAGTAAAGGCTCTGAATTTATCAATTAAAGGCACAGGATAGCAGACAGGTGTTGGTCATGAGGGAAGACCAGAGTCTCACTTAAAATCCCAAGTTTTTATTATATTGTATGTTTTTATTTTTATTTGTATATGGGTTTGTATGCACACCATGTGATATGGATGCCTGCAGAAGCCAGAAGACGGCATCAGATCCCTTGGAGCTGGAGTTAATAGGCAATTGTGAGCTGTCCGGTGTAGGTGCTGGGAACTGAAGTTGGCTACTCTGGAAGAGCAGCAAGTGTCCATAATCACTGAGCATCTCTCCAGCCTGATATTTTGTGTATTCTCACTTCCTTTTTGAGACAAGGTCTCATGTAGCACATGTAGCATGCACTGGTCTTGGAGGTGCTGTATAGCCAAGAACAACCTTGAATCCTAGTTCTGCCCTCTGCTTCCCAAGTACTGGGATTACAGGATGCCTCACCTTGTTTCCTTCTTCACCTCTTTTTGACATGCATAATTTTTTTCACATCTACCTTTTGGAGAGTAGGTCCTTGTAAACAGAATATGAGTGTGGTTCTTCCTTTCCTTCTATGTAGTGTGGCTTTGAACCTCTCCTATCTCTCTGACTTTGTCCAACCCGTAAATGCCGCTCTGAGAATCATGTCCATGCTTCTCCTCAGCACACCCTTTCCCCAGTTCCATTTGTTAGGTGACTTTCCCTGGGGAGACTTGAACACAAGTCTATTCTTCCCAGATAACAGCACCAGCAATAGACGAAAGAAATGATTCTACCTATGTCTAGCTTGGTGAACTGATAAGTGCGTTGAGTTTGCTTGTAGGAACATGGGCACCTTGGGGCACTGAAGAATGGTCTCCCTCCTTGTGGCCCGAATTCTCTCTAGGTCTCCTTCACAGTTAGACAAAGCATATAATATATTTTATGTGTATTTATTAACTTACAAAGGAATGAGTACCCAGTGCCTAGCCCCGCACCTCAGGGACTCGGAGCCCACCTTATCAGACCACACCACGCCCATAGTCCCCTGCTAGCATTTGTTCACACCTCCGCGGCCAGCGATCTCGCCCCAGGTCCACAGGGAGTCAGTCCATTCTGTCTTTGAGTTGCTGCGCTGGCTGCGAGTTTCCTACACCATCAAGCTCTACTGGCAGCTCTTGGCTTCCGTCCCAAGATGGCGCCCAGCTTCCCTTCCTACTTCCCGCTCGTGTCAGGCCCTGCGCATTGGAGGAACCAGCCAATTGCATTGGAGGAACCAGCCAATCGGGAGACCCTCCACCCCTTTCCTCTGCTCTTACAGTCTTTCCACCAATCTTCCGCTAAAGTCCCTGAGCCTTGGAGGGGTGATAGATGTAGGGTGAGCTCTCTTGTATCATGGTGAGATAGTGGCTTCTTGGGCCTCCCCATTAGTCGTCTTTAGGCCGTGGCCACTGATCTATCTCAGTGGTGTTTTTCTTACTATAAAGACAAATGGAAGGAAGTAGACACATTTAAACAAACATGAATGTAAATACAAATGCTTAGACAATATCCCAGTGGGTGTATTATACTCATTAAACAATATACTTATGATGGCTTCTCCACTAGGGCCTGTAGCCTTTCTCAACAAAAGGCGTTGGCCTGGCCTACAGCACCAGATGTGTCTTCCAACCCGAGGAGCGGGCCTTATCCAATTAGAAATTTGTCAGTTGTACGTATGTGGTTGAGCCATTACTGCACTTGCAGGTATTGCTTGGCATGTCCATAGTGTGCAGCATGCGGGGTCCATCGTTGAGTAGACTTATAGGGGATCCTTTCTTCCCCAACCATCTGTATAGAGTCTTCTGGCAATATGAACGTCATCCATCCAGTGGCACAGAGGGATTTTTTTTTTTTTTTGGCTTAGTCTCAGTTCCATCTCTTCTTCTTCTCTTGCGCTCACAACATGCAGTGTCCTCAGCACCATGGCCTTACCAACCTTTCTGGTGTACAACCAACATTGATGGCAATAGCCTTGGTGAATTGGAGGACCTCAAGGGTCTCTCTCTGACCAATAGCTCATAGGGGGGCAACCTACCCCTGATACTGTAGATTTTCTTAACAGTTGTCTATAGCTGACCTTTGCTTCTTCAGGAATCTTTCAAATGGGTTTCACATCTGTAAAACATTCAAAGGAACGTTAACATTAAATATTAAATCACTCATAGACAAGGTCTCATAAAGCTTGGAAAGGTTTTGTCTACTCGTATTAACTATTTTCTCCATAGATCTTTGTTAGGTACCATAGCATGGGTATGAGGCATTAATTTGGTTAGCTCATTACCATTTTTAGTTATCCCTTTGGATTCTTTTATTCTTGATACACTTACAGGTGTTAGCTCCAGTTACCTGACCCTGCACTGGGCTAAGGAGGCAGAGGGCTTCTCCTGTCCCTGCTGCACTTGTTGGTTCCCTAGGTCAGACAGGCTCTGGGTATGCCTCCTGACTGTAGCCACATCTGTCATCTTCCCATTGACCATACCAGGTTGCTGGGTGAGAACTTGGTGGGAAAACCTGCTTTCATCAAAGGGCTTATTTAAGCCATTAAAACCCATACCATTCTCGAGGTCCCAGTTGAATTAAGCTTTCTTTCATATCTCTGGTGAACACAGTCTCATCTGACCCAGTGAACTGGACACCATATACTGCTTTTCTCATACCTAGTTCTCTCAGTAATGCCTGCCCCTCCTTTATAGTCCTCCAGCCCCTGCTAATCATGTTAGTCTCCCTTGGTGACAACCATGTATCTTTAATGCCTTCAACCAGCCATCTCATTAAGGACTGCTCCCCCCTGCATTGGCCTAGGTTGAACAGCCTATATCATAAGGATGGATGGGTGGTTATATAACTCAGCTGTGAAGCTTCTGAAGGACTTAGACTGACATCATTTGCTCCCATATCCCGTACTCTCAGAAGCCACATGCTTGCTTGCTTGTAAGTTTTTCCTAGCTTCAACACTTCCA